AAATGACCGCGTTCGTTGCGCGAGCGCTTGCCGAGGAGGTACATAAACTGCTCGTAGCGCACGATGGCCGCGGCCACCACCTCGGGATGCTTCCAGTACTCGGTGTGGGGTACCATCTTGTTGATATAGTCGAGTTGCCGGAACATGGCTTGGACAAGGTCGATCGAGTAGGCGCCGACCGCTTGTTGATCGATTGTATTGGCGAGCTTGCAAAGACTCGTGCGCAAGCTAGGCGCACCAAGCTCAACCGAGTGTTCGCAACTCAAGACCATGTCGAGCAAGGCAGCAAAGAACGTTGCGAAGTGACCGTCACGGGGCACCCCGGGGGGCGTGTGGAGCCTCGCGCCATATCGCGTCGCCGTGACACCGGGAAAGCGCGCCAGGACACCGGGGTATGCGGCCAGAAACGCCAATACCTTGTACGTCTCGTACAAAAGCGGGCCGTCGCACGCGGGGCACATGACGGGCTGCAGCAAAATGTGCATTTGAAACGAGATGGCTGGCGGCAGCGACGCGTTGCAGTGGGCGCAGGTGCTGACGACATCGGCGAGCGGCGTGAGCGACGGCTCATTCTTGCTAGCATACAAGTCGACGGGGTGCAGTCGATGCACAGTGTGTGCAAAGTTGGTGGCGCCGCCGGCCACGTAAAGCCGTTCTTGTTCCAAAAAATAGCTGTAGACGTCGACAATGTCGGTGAAGCTGCCTGTGACGGTGTAGACGTCAATGATGCCTTCAAGATGGCGCTGGACGAGATCGATGCTCACATTGCACTTGGGCACCGCCGGTCCCTTGGGACGGGATTCTTTGATGCGGCGCGCCACCGAGAGAAAGCGTGTCCAGTCGTCGACGCGCGATGGCCATGCAACGCCGCTCGAGGCTGCGTACAAGCATTCGAGGAGCTCGTCTCGCGCCGACGCTGTGGGCACATTGATGACGGCGCGTGTCTTGCCGTGTTCACAGAGCTCGAATGGGAAGCGCCGCGTGGTATCGAGCGCATCGAGGATACGCGTTGTGCAGGCAGTCGTATTGCACGCCCACTGGAGTTTGTCGCCGTCAAACACTTCAAGTGCTTTGGCCGTGAGCACGATTTGACGCGATGTCCAGGAGGCGAGTAGCCATTTGGTTTCCTTGACGTCCACGTCGACAACGTACGATGCGTCATGCTGCGTGTTGTCGGGCGATTCAGCGAAAGATGAACGGACAAGGGTGGCCAAGGGCACGGGCACTGCGATCGCGCTCTCCATCGAAGGTACGTCACCAGAAATTGCAAAGTGAGCAAAACGACTGTCGCTCAAAAACAGATGGTTTTTGAAAGTTGAACTACAACCGGCACACGCTCAGACCCAATCAAGCAAGAGAAGCGAAGCGCAGTTTTTCGGCCTTGACTACGATTGTTTTGGCTGACACAAAACGCCCTCGAGTGACTCAAATGCCAAGAAACAAATCATTCACCAAGGGACAGATACCATCGAAG